CGTGTGGTGAGTGGTGCTGGGTAGTGATAGCCAGGTCGTGTGGTGAGTGGTGCTGGGTAGTGATAGCCAGGTCGTGTGGCGAGTGGTGCTGGGCAGTGATAGCCAGGTCGTGTGGCGAGTGGTGCTGGGCAGTGATAGCCAGGTCGTGTGGCGAGTGGTGCTGGGCAGTGATAGCCAGGTCGTGTGGTGAGTGGTGCTGGGTAGTGATAGCCAGGTCGTGTGGTGAGTGGTGCTGGGTAGTGATAGCCAGGTCGTGTGGTGAGTGGTGCTGGGTAGTGATAGCCAGGTCGTGTGGTGAGTGGTGCTGGGTATGATAGCAGTCGTGTGGTGAGTGGTGCTGGGTAGTGATAGCCAGGTCGTGTGGTGAGTGGTGCTGGGTAGTGATAGCAGGTCGTGTGGTGAGTGGTGCTGGGTATGATAGCCAGTCGTGTGGGAGTGGTGCTGGGTAGTGATAGCAGGTCGTGTGGCGAGTGGTGCTGGGTATGATAGCAGTCGTGTGCAGTGGTGCTGGGTAGTGATAGCCGTCGTGTGGTGAGTGGTGCTGGGTATGATAGGTCGTAGCTGACGTGTGGCGGTGGTGCTGGTATGATAGGTCGTGTGGAGTGGTGCTGGGTATGATAGGGTCGTGTGAGTGGTGCTGGGTAGTGATGCAGGTCGTGTGGTGAGTGGTGCTGGTGTATGATAGGTCGTGTGGTGAGTGGCTGTGGTAGTGATGAGGTCGTGTGGTGAGTGGTGCTGGGTAGTGTACAGGTCGTGTGGTGGTCGGTGTGGGTAGTGATGCAGTCGTGTGGTGAGTGGTGTGGGTACTGATAGGGTCGTGTGGTGAGTGGTGTGGGTACTGATAGGTCGTGTGAGTGGTGCGTGGGTACTGAAGGTCGTGTGGGAGTGGTGCTGGGTACTGAGGTCGTGTGGTGAGTGGTGCTGGTGGTGGTGAGTGCTGGTATGATAGGTCGGTGAGTGGTGTGGGTACTGATAGGTCTGTGAGTGGTGCTGGGTACTGATAGGTCGTGTGAGTGGTGCTGGGTACGTGAAGGTCGTGTGAGTGGTGGTTGGGTACTGATAGGTCGTGTGAGTGGTGCTGGGTACTGATGGTCGTGTGAGTGGTGCTGGGTACTGATGGTCTGTGAGTGGTGCTGGGTACTGATAGGTCGTGTGAGTGGTGCTGGGTACTGATAGGTCGTGTGAGTGGTGCTGGGTACTGATAGGTCGTGTGAGTGGTGCTGGGTACTGATGGGTCGTGTGAGTGGTGTTGGGTACTGATGGGTCGTGTGAGTGGTGTTGGGTACTGATGGGTCGTGTGAGTGGTGTTGGGTACTGATAGGTCGTGTGAGTGGTGCTGGGTACTGATGGGTCGTGTGAGTGGTGCTGGGTACTGATGGGTCGTGTGAGTGGTGCTGGGTACTGATGGGTCGTGAGAGTGGTGTTGGGTACTGATAGGTCGTGTGAGTGGTGCTGGGTACTGATAGGTCGTGTGAGTGGTGCTGGGTACTGATGGGTCGTGTGAGTGGTGTTGGGTACTGATGGGTCGTGTGGTGAGTGGTGTTGGGTAGCTATAGGTCGTCACTCGCACAACACAACCAAACACAGGACACGGAGGGTCGAGCCTTCTCTCCTAGCACTGGATTACCCACGCGGGTTTCACGCTTTATAATGACAAAGTACTAGTTATTTCGCAATGTGGGGGACGTTGGCTGGTTTACCTAGTTTAAATCCTATCGACTACACGAGTGTCATCAAGGCTGCACATCACCAGTACACCACCAGCCAAGAATAACTTAATTCCCAATACAGTATATATACACTGGGAAACATTTGGATCACCACCTTGTTAGGGGTGACTGAGGATAAGGGGGAAGAAAGGGTAGGGGAAGAAAGGAAGAAGAGGGATGGGTGGTGGCTGGGATGATGTGAAAGGCCTTCAACCCTCATCAGTAACCCACGAGGAACATTACAGTAAAATAATGTTTAAATCGCCGAGCGATCTCAGGAGATTCTAGTATCCCACAACCCCAGCCCCCTCTACCTCAATTGACTCAAAAGAAATAGTTTAGTGTGGTACAGTTAAATATCAGCGGTGAAGATTAGCAAACCACGAGAAACATCCATAAATTATCACAAAAATATTACCTTTTCAATAAAATGGGTAATTAATACCAATGTATTTCAGAATTAACCTAAATCTTCCTCTTATGTTAAATACATCAGGGTTTCAAGCTTAACAGAAAAACCATTCTCCATTTATTGCAATGTATATACACAAATGGTTATGACTATAAATTTTAAAAAGGGTGGACCGGTAAGCCAGTGGAAGGCCTCTGTCAGATCAAAAGCTCCAACGGCAGGTCATCTGACTACGACCCGCGTCAGGAAACACTTGTCCTGTTTCCTGACAAACATTACCTAACCTATTGCATGGTGGCGAATTACTTTTCAATAAAAAGGCACTTTTGTAGCCCAGTAACTACGTGAACTTCTCTAACTTAACGATGTTAGTGGCAATAGTTTGAAGGCGACCGGAAGAGGAATTATCCGGTTAACCAACTAAATCCAACAATTAAATTTGTTTTTGCCTTGGTAAGTGAAATGGTAAGTGTGAGCCTACTCAGCCTAAATTTAAAGTGTCATCTTTCACATAAGTTGCATCAGCCACTTGCTGAGGTTAAGCTCCAGGAGCCATTTGTCGGACCAGGTTTGCAGCCTGTCCAGATCTTGTAGGTTTACCTAATCTTCGTCCACTTGTATTCCTCGTGAGTTTCACATCGTCTGCAAATATGACACTTCTGTATCTATCACTTCTGTTATTTACATACTAGAAACAGCACGACCTAGGAATGACCCTCGTAGAACCTCACTTGATACACGCACCCACCGACACCTCGTCACGTACCAACACACGTTGTTTCCTTCCTGTCAGGTATTTCCTGATCCGTTATAGTCCTCTCCCTGCTGTTTCTACCTGCTCCTCTAGCTTTTCAACTAGTCTTGTGTGGTACTGTATCTAAAGCCTTCTTACAGTCCAGGAAGATGCAGTCTACCCATCCCTCTATCTCCTGTCTTACTTCTGTTACTTTATCGCAGAACTCCAGTAGGTTCGTGATGTAGGATTTCCCCTTACCTGAAGTCATGTATAAGCCCGTTCCTTTCTAGGTGCTCCACCACTCGTTTGATAATCTTCTCCCTAACTTTATATATTATACATGTCAGTGACACTGGTCTGTAGCTCACTGCTATCTGCCTGTCTCCTTTCTTAAAAAGTGAAACTACGCTTGCCGTCTTCCATACCTCAGGCAGTTGCTCGAGGGTGGACTGTACTGAAACTGATGATTGCATATTTATATACATCCATGTAGTGATCTTCCTGGCGCATTGTCTTACCTTCCCTCTCTCCCTCCCTGTCATGCCATAACCTCTCTAAGGTTTAGAGCTTTATTTTGATTATAATACTCTCCCTCCCTGTCAACTGTAATTCTTTTAAGAATTACACTGTTGACAATGTATTTTTTATGTAATAGGTAAAACTTGAGAGTTTGCCTTAAATAGCAACGCTCTTCTTGCCGAATAATGCAAGCGAAAATTTGTGTATGCAATAATATCGCAAAAATCATTCTGAACCTAACGAAAAAAAATATTTCATTGTGTTTATTAAATTGTTGTAAACTTACCTAAAATATATTTAGTTGGATTAGGTTAGGTTACGTTAAATTTCGCTTGTTATAATAAGGTTAGTTAAGTTTTCTAAGGTTCTTTTGGTACAAAATTTTTACATTAACAAATGAAAAATATACATCTTTAAACGTACAAGAGAAAATTTTAGAATTTAATTTTCAACGAGTTCTCGCCAATTGGCACAGTTTTACCTTTTCGGCACGACATATATTTTCTAACAACATTATAGGCAGGCTCCTTGCTAGCCTGAAGTTGCACAACTCCCCCGCACATAGGCCTCCCCGCGGAGGCCCCTTTCTCAGAAGTCTACGAAGGATAACTGCAGGCAGACGTGCCCGAATATACCGCCTCAGTACAGTCTACAGTCGTTTCCTTACATCACTCCATCTACGAACCCCTTCCCCTCCTCCCTGCACGACCCCTATGGGTCTAAAGCTAACCCTTCAATTCTACACCCACTCCCATTTTCCTGTGTTTTGGTTCACGAAGTCACCAGAACAGCTAGAAACATCAGACACCTCAAATTATAAATTCCAGCACAAAAGAATTTAGTTTTTCAATCACAAGAAAATTCTACCAGCCAAATCGAGCAATATGTATTTATAATGCTCCAGATTTTTTTTTACACGTACACACACGTACACATACACGTACACACACACACGTACACACACACACACGTACACACACACAACACGTACACACATACACGTACACACATACACGTACACACATACACGTACACATACACGTACACACATACACGTACACACATACACGTACACACATACACGTACACACATACACGTACACACATACACGTACACATACACGTACACACATACACGTACACACAGGTATAAAATTTTTTCTCTAATAGCTGACGAGGGAGACTCCTTCAGGTTCAGGAAGTTGCTAGACACACTGCGCTACTCAGCGCCATCTGTGACGCAGCGACCACAACTATTTTATACACCAGAATCAAAGTGAAAATAAATACGTGAACACTTGTGTGAACAAAATACAATAGTTTCGAACTACCATATAAAACAAGGTAGTCAAACTGCGGTTGTTCCAGTAATATAAACTACCATACAAAGCGTGGCATCATACTGCTGGCGTTCATAAAACAGTAGGGATTCTAGTTCTAGTAGGGATTAAAAAACACTAGAATCTAGGGCCTAGATCCTGTCCTAATGATTAAATACCCTGAGTCGAGGGGGCAATGACCCCCCGCCACGAGGTAAGCTCAAGAGCTCCGAAGGCGTCAATTAATAGATGTCACCTATTCATTATTGGATAAAGGCAATACATGACTGAAGGAATCAATAAGGTGCAATTAACATTTTTATTAATTAGCCGTGAAAACTGTTTTACAAGAGATAAGAAGCAAGGAACCATGTTTCCAAGACTTGATAATGGTGTAACTCATCCTGAGAAAGGAGACGAAAGAAGAACGGAGAGAAAAGAATTAGGATTAAGATCGAGAGGGAAGAATGAAGAGGGCATAAAATAATACGTATGTATGAAATTAAAGAAAAACGAGAAAGGAACGAAAGGATGAGAATGGATAGGAGACCTGTGATCCCGGTGTAGGTCTAAGTCGAGGCTCCGAGCACAGTGTCTGGAGTGAGTACTTCTCCGAGCATGCCAGGGAGGACACCCAGGTCAATGATGTGCAGGCGGCCCTCTCTGCTCTTCCACTGCGCCTCGGCGGAATACTGGCCGTAGCGCGTGTGACAGATCACGAATGCTGACTGCTGGGCGAGGGCAGACACCACCGGGAGACCACGACGCCACCAAGAAGCCATCGAAAGAAAGAAAAAACATCGACAGAATTATTAAAACTAAAAATAGGGCCGTTTACACAACTGCTGTCACAAGAATAACACAGGGCAAAGTTAAGAAAGAACTGCACACAGGTATTAAACACAGGAAAAAAAACCTTTGGAGTGATTGTGGAAATGGGAGAGGTTAAGAATAAGGTGGTTAGAGGGTCCCGAGGGGAAGAAAAAGTGATAAGGTTTTTGACCCAGCTGTCGGGCGGCTGTAAAACTTGTGTTAGGTTTTAATACAGCGTGTCATAACACTGGACGGGCAACAATAGTCGAAGAAGGAACGACACATTCTCGGAAACATGCAGCGTGGAATCTGGGGGCTAAGAAAATGTCCAGTTTATAATAAGGGAATAATAGTAATTTAAAGACCCAGGCCTGTTAACACGTGCCTGTTGGGGTAACTAACTCTCCGCTAACAAATTATAGTATTAGTAGTAGTAATAGCTTTCGAGTGAGTACAGTAATTATCACATCGTCGGAGGAGCACATAACCAAGCAGACATGGCCAGAATTTACACAGTTAGCTAACATTAACAATGGCCTTCAAAAACATTAACAAGGAGTCATTCAATATTATATACATTTCAGACTCTTCAGTATGTAGCACCAGTCTGAAGCCCACATCTCATTAACCATTTAAAGGGACTAAAACTTAATAGGCTTGTAAGAAGACTAGTTTAAGTCTAGCAGCAGTAACAGTAGTAACATTGACAAGGTTGTCCACGCAGATCACTCATCGTTATGGCGATCAAAAAGTATATACAAAAAACATGAGAAAATTAATACTAGTTAGCATTAATAAATGCTCAACACAAATTAATATTAAGTTAAAATAGTCACCATTAGTTAACCCAGCCATTAATTAATATCAAAACTCCCACTCTTAAAGCTCACGCAGGTCCCTACAGGCACCCCGGTTATTATAAACACCAACTAAGGCGGAAGGGCCTGAACCATGGGCAAATGGTTAGAATTTGTTCAACAGTCAACAGCCCATTAAAAACTACACCGAGAGGGAGGGGGAATAAGGACGAGAGACAGGAACACCTGTGAACCGGTGGCTGTGGATGAGGTGTGCGCTAGATCCTCAGTCGACATATTAGCCTCATTGTAACTATTCCTACTGAAGGAGGGCTAAACACCCACTTCCTGTCGAACCCTGTAGGGCCCACTGGGTCCACCACTTTCCATGGACATATCTGCATATAGCCCATTAATTCATCAAGTAAAACATTGCTGCAGTAATAGTTCGCTACAGCAGCCTTTGCCTCGTCATCTGCCTGTTCATTTTCAGGGACACCAACATGGCCCAGGCATCAAGAGAACTTCATACTCTTGTGTTGCTCTTTCAGACGAACTAACCACTCCTGGATCTCGAAGTTCAAGTGAGCTGACCTACAGAAGACTATTGAAACTATGCCTAATGACCTTGCATAAAGAAGAAACAGTAACGTACAAGAGAACTTCAGAAGGTAGACAAACAGGCTTCATGGGAGGGGATGGGCTACCTTTACAGTTGATAATGCAACTAATCCAAAAGAACATTAGGAAACAACTTCAGCCTCAAGGTAGTAAGGCAACGTAATGATCTAGATGAGGCAGAGGTAGACGTGAACTCCATGTACACCTTAATTAAAGGATAGGAACAAAATCCGAGATACTGTAGTGAAACCGGTTAGTGTCCTGCAGACACAGTAGTGTCTGGAGGATCTTATCAATCTCGAGTGTACACCTGTATTAAAGTACTTATATATAATCTCATTGCGGTAAAGGTGTCAATTTACTGGAGCCTCACCGTGAAATACTGCTAGTCTGTTAACAGTACCTACACTCAACACTTCAACTGCTGTCTTGTATAATTCGTTTCCTGATCCACTTGATCCAGTGATGTTACTTTATAATCCACATTCAAACAATCACAACTTCCATGAACTTTTGTTTTACTAAGTGCAACTTTTGTTTGACTCCTGCCCCGGAAAACTTTTTCTGTTTCTACTAGATGTTTAATACACGCACGTTTTGACCGTATAAGAAAAATATCAAGGCATAAACCAAATCATAATTGGGGTACCCCCCTCTTCACCCAGTTCCTCTACAATCTCCCACAAACACATTACTACCACCACTACACCCATGGAACACTCACGTAACGCGTGTCTTCCAGGATCCTAAGGAGGTCGAACGAATGGTCGTTGGTGCCGAAGGGATTAAGAAGGATCTCTGCTACCTTGAGCCAGCCCATGTAGAAAACGAGCTCAAGAAGGGCGAAGGCAGGCACCACCAGGTCCACCTCATAGCTGGGATATTTGAGGCTCTCGTCCAGGTACTGCTCGCTCAGCAGTGATATTACGAAGTACGTGTACGCTGCGATAGTCACCACCTGTTGAATACAGTGTTCTGTTGGCACAAGTGTTATTTTCATATTTGATTCTTTTGCCTGTGAGATGGGAATGTTTATTTTTTAATAATAATAATAATAATAATAATAATAAATAATAATCTGTTTCTGCAAGTACAAATACGACGTACACAGACCTAGTTGACATCAGTGATATAACTATATAGAAAGCCCCTCTTTATGCAGATCATTTCGGGCAAATTAAGTCAATTTCTTCCCCAGGATGCGACCCACACCAATCTACTAACACCCAGGTGCCCATTTTACTGCTAAATGAACAGGGACGGGTGTTTTAAGGAAATGTGTCCTAATTTTCCACCCGTACCGGGGGTCGAACCACGGACCTTAATGTGTGAGTCAAGTGCGGTACCAACCTAGGTATGGTAGACATCATATTTTGTTATACAATGGCGTAATTTCGACGAAATAGTAAATATCCTCTCAAAATGCTGTGTCCATTGTCTGCATGTTCGAGTTCCGAGTTAAGTGGAAATGAATGAAATGCCTACCTGGAGTGGGTTTCAGGGATCGACGCCCCCCGCGGCCCGGTCTGAGACCAGGCCTCATGGTGGATCAAGGTGTGATCAACTAGGCTGTTGCTGCTGGCCTCAAATATAGTAGGAAATAATTTACTAGGGATATCGCTGGTTGAAGGTCAGCCTCTCCTCCAGCCCTCTGACTTCCTATAAGCTGGAGTAAACACTAAAACTGTAGGGGCAATTCAGCGCCTGGAGAAATAGGAGGCATATATGTTTCACATATATTCCTCCAGTTCCTTGGATCAAGAACCCCCCTCAGAAGCATGAAGTCTCTCTTGAAGTCTCCCAGTACCCGAGTTTTTTTTTTTATCAACACATCGGCCGTCTCCCACCATGGCAAGGCGACTCGAAAAAGAAGAAACTCTATCATCATCACTCACTCCATCACTGTCTTGCCAGAGACACGCCTAACAGTTCAAAAACTGCAACATATATCCACCCATCCTTCGCAGCGCAGGTCCTGTACTTCCCACTTTCTTACGTTAAATACCTTAAAAATTTGGATCTGTGGGATACATCACGAGAAATTCCCAATCAACAGTAATTCTCACTTTCCTCGCCGCTCCTCAGAAGTCTTCCAGCTCAGGATGACACACAAATAACCCGCACATAAAAGAGAGAAGCTTACGACGACGTTCCGGTCCGACTTGGACCATTTACAAAGTCACTTTGTAAATGGTCCAAGTCGGACCGAAACGTCGTCGTAAGCTTCTCTCTTATGTTCGGGTTATTTGTGTATCGTTCCAGTCACGGTATTGTGCCTCTTTTTGTTATTCAGGACGACACGTTTCATTACCTCAGGTATATGAAGTAGACATCATAAACAAAGGGGAGCGTTAAACCCGTAGGATTATGCAGCGTCTTTTGGGGGGGGGATGTGGAAGGTATTCAGGCTTAATTCAGGGAACTGGAGCACGGATCCAATTCCCTAGATCAAGAGCCCCTCACCAACGTCATGGAACCTTCCTTGATAGGGGAAGTAGACTTGGAATTTGTAATGGAATATACCAGGGAAGAGAGCGTTAGTTCTCACAATCTAAAAATTCCAGAATTAGATAGCTAGACACTGCTGGTGTTCTCGCACTGTAATGGTAATTGGACCATGTCTAAGACTTACTGAACCTCGGGTCCTGACCTGTGTGTAGAGCAGCGGTACATTGTGCTCGTGCCACTGCTGTAGGCGGCTACACTGACGACGCAGACGAAGCAGCTCCGTCACTAGCAGCACCTTGCCAGAGTCCGTCTGCAGGAAACCCTCCTCCCTAGCACACTGCACCAGCTGGCAGCACCAGGTCAACGGCAGCCACTTGCTGCCAGCACACCCTTGTTTCGCCGCCTCCGTCAACACCTGACCCTCTAGCTCCGTCGCCAGGTCTGAAGGAGAGAGTAATGAAGTCAGGGCGGAAGTCTGGATCACACTCATCCTCCTCTGCTCTTTTTTGTGTTTTCATTCGTCTCTAACCTTTTCCCTTTGTGTTGAAAGGCGCTTTATCCAAGGAACTGGACCCTCTCCTCTGATGAAACTCGATACCTGACATCTCTCATTCCCCCAGAGTTGTGCTGTTTGCTGGTTTAGTGCGGCCTCGTGAATATTAATTATTTCCGGTTCCTACCCTCCCCCCTATTGCCATTCCTCTTACTAGTTCCTCTCCTTCCTTCTCTTACTAGTCCTTCGTCCTATTACTAGTTCTCTTCCTCTTACTAGTCTTCTTCCTCTTTACTACTTCTCTTCCTCCTCTCTTACCTATTCAACCCTTCCCCCCCCCCCATTCCTAGTTTTCGTTAATTGCCACTTGAGAAACAAAGATTACATGTCATGCTCGGCAGATACCTGCTGCTCCACTACATCCTCACACAATTGACTGGGGGTAGGCAGCTCTGTATCTCGAGACCATCATTAGGAAACACTATACTTGGATCTTGTGATTTACAGAGATGAAGATTTAAAAGTCTGTCTTGTGAAAAATATTCAATCGCTTATGAACGCTAACCACTACACACCCGGTGATACACACACACACACACCAGGAAATAGAATGACCTGGACAAGTAAATGGTTGAGGCTTCAATCATTTCTTAAAACTATAAATAAATAAAATAAATAAATTATAATATATAATATATATATATATATATATATATATATATATATATATGCAAAACAACCACTCTGAAAGAATAGAGAAATTCCAAGCGCTTTCGTGACTACTCACATTAATGTGAGTAGTCACGAAAGCGCTTGGAATTTCTCTATTCTTTCAGAGTGGTTGTTTTGCATATTCTGAAATCACCTGTTTACTGTGATCTTATTGCATATATATATATATATAATATATATATTATATATATATATATATATATATTATATATATATATATATATATATATATATATATATATATATATATATATATATATACACACACACACACACACACGTTTTAAGAATAGGCGTGCTAGGGAGGGGGGCTTACGAGGTTAGTAATTAGTGCATCCAGTAATGGTCAGTCAAGAGCCAGGAGCCAAGAATCGACCCCTGCATCAAGAAAAGGGTACATACACAATTTGTGCGCGCGAGTGAGTACACATCAAGACAAGCTTCCATCATGCCTCTCTCACTACCCAAACCCACAACCTGTATGTCAACCTACAGTGCCGCATACCCCAGAGCAAACCCTGGAATCCCCGACTCTCGCATCCCATTCCCAAAGCTCAACCCCCGTCTCTCCAATCCCTCCCCCCGCAAGTCAACAACCCCAAATAACCTTTCATCAGGACTTACATTCTTGTACAAGATGCTGTGAATCAGGATACTTGCTATGGACGGTGCCCGAGATCTGCGCGAACACCATGGCACAAGTGAGGCTGATGTAGCGCACGATCCTGGAACGTATCTCGAACGCCCGGGAGTCCTGCAGGAGGGAGAGGTGCAAGCCTCGTGTAAGTCACGTGTAAACACACGCACACAGATGCTTGTACACATGTACTCTGTCACAGATTCAAGATTTCGGCTAAATTATTTTCCCTTAATTAGAAAATCAAGACATCATAAGTATCACAAGTGAATGAAAACAAGACTCACGAAATCGTAATGACACGACTGCAAACAAACCATACCCCGGCCGGGATTGAACCCGCGGTCAGAGAGTCTCAAAACTCCAGCCCGTCGCGTTAGCCACTAGACCAGCTAGCCACAATAAGATTCGTCCAACTAGGAATATTTCTACACCATGTTGACGGCAGTGAAGGGACTTGAGCTAGAGTTCGTCACGGCCACGCTAGCTGGAGAATCGTCTGTAAGAACTTGCATTTGTGGTCACAGAGGTGCCTGTGCTGACCTTCCTATGGTGTAGAAATATACCTAGTTGGACGAATCTTATTGTGACTAGCTGGTCTAGTGGCTAACGCGACGGGCTGGAGTTTTGAGACTCTCTGACCGCGGGTTCAATCTCGGCCGGGGTATGGTTTGGAATGAAAACAAGTAATATATTCCCAGCAAGGTATCAAGTACAAAGGAAAAAAATGGGAGAGTATGGGAGTCGACTGTTAGTCAAAAAATACAGTGCTAAAAGAGGATCAAGATTATAGATTGATTGGATAATCACACATCACTCTGGGCAACAACAAAAAACCATACATCCCACAAAAACATTAATGAGCAAGACAAAGTGAATACTGATATGCTAAAATTACCAACAAAAATTAAAAATCCCAGTAAACTATCAATGTTAAAATACTTTCCTAAAAGTTTTCCCCAGAGATGGCTACAGACACCCCGGAATTATAAAAATAAGAGCTAAAGGGAGTAACTCGTGGGCAAATATTTGTGTTAGACGACTGCAACCACAGCTACACAGATGGGAGCACCTGCACACAGCTCAGAAGGATGTGCCCGATCCTCAATCTACACATCTCAAAGATGATTTCTGTTGAAAGAAGAGCCAAAACACCCACATCCTGCCGAACCTGTATAACTTTTTACTCTTCTGTAGGACCTACTAGAGTGACCACTTACAAACGGACCTATATACATGGCCCATGAAGTCAGAGGCAAAAAGAGTCTGCCAGAGAGATCTCAAAGAGAGTTGCCCTTACCTCAGCGTGTCTACTCGCTTGCAGGGAGACTAACATGGCCTGAGCACCAACGGAAGGCCACATCCTTGGGCTGCACATGGAGATGGTCTAGTCACTCCTGGATGGCTTTGACCACAGGGTGGTTAGAAGCATACTGAGCCAGGGCAGAGAACATTAAGGAATTTGTATACGTTGAAGAGTTCCAGCAAACCTATCAGGAAGAGATCAGCGAGAATGGTGTAGAGATCCACAGTAAGCAGAGGATACTCTGGGCAATTGTGCACAATAAGACATCAGCGTCCACCACACATCCAACAGTAAATATCTTTTTCTCCTGCTGAGGCCCTCAACAGGAAAAAAAGACGGAATGCACCCATACAAGGCCATATTCCTAAATGACAGACTATTTAGCAAACGCAAAGAGGAAAAATTGGCCCAGTAATAGATCTGGCAGCCGTACTCCAACCTGGACCCCTCTCAAGGCCGCATATAGATAGATCATTGTGCCCCGATCTGTCCATAAAATAGTAAGAGAGCACTTTAATGTGCAACACTTGCAGAGTATCCACTGGGAGCTTCTTTATAAGAGGCTCACGTCAGCTCTCGATCGAAGAGCTTCCCCAAAAATATCACCTGCTACTCATTGGGAAGAACCACACCATGGAGCAGCACATGGGAAATAGGTTATCTGATACGGTACAATGTAAAATAATCAGCGTCATAGTAGAAAGCCTGTAGCCCTTAGAAGCAGCTTACGCCATGGTGTCCACTAATAATCTAAGCTGGCCTCATCCACCTTAAACGACCTAGTTTTGAGAAACCGGTACAGCCTGCCCCCATAGTTCCAGCCTGGAGATGAAGGACAAACCTCCACGCTGTGTCAGGCTGTCTCCATGAGGGGCATCATAAAAAGCTATCAGCATCAATGTATTCTCCTTGAAGGGTGCATTGTTACCAAAAGATAACAAATATAGATAGCCAACATGAATTATGAGATGGGTTTCAATAGCTGGAAGCTTAAAATATTTCAATTCAACCAGACAATCACACTAAAGCTGCGTGGAAGACATTAATTCCCTCTAAGTGATTGCCAGCTGGAATGGCAAAAAAAGTGTCAGCCATAGGAAAGTTGACACGTCTACAAGACGAATGTATTATAGTTGGGACACCGAGTCAGAGGCTACAACTGCAGTTACACTAGTTAAGAATTAAAAAAGTGACTATTAACTCACGGTGCCAGGGATGTGTGTGGCCAATAGCATGGCAATATTCGTGTTGTCTGGGAGTGCCAAACAGATGCTCCACCAGCGAATCATCACCAGCATCACGTACATCCCCAGCATGAAGGACACGGGCACCAGGCTCTTGTACTTGCTACTGTACATCACCAGTTCCTCGAACATCCTGACTCGCCAGGAAGATTGTGGCACCGAGCAAAATTATACAGATTCGTGTTAAATATTCGAGTCCCAAACTTTTGTAATCTTCCAGTATCCATAAAAAATATACAATTGATATGCAATATATAATTAACATTTAAGGAATAAAAAGAGTCAATACCGTGTAGTGCAGCATCTGGTTTATAATTTACTGGTCAAGACTGTATTAAGGTTGCATTGGTCAAATTTAACGTGACGATATCTATAGAACTGTTGTTCACGTCCATTTTTTCCACATTATCACTAGCTTAAAATGTAGCCAAAAGTCGCGTGTGAGCAAGCCCAGAGCCCAGCCTGGCCTGTGAGCAAGCCCAGAGCCCAGCCTGGCCTGTGAGCAAGCCCAGAGCCCAGCCTGGCCTGTGAGCAAGCCCAGAGCCCAGCCTGGCCTGTGAGCAAGCCCAGAGCCCAGCCTGGCCTGTGAGCAAGCCCAGAGCCCAGCCTGGCCTGTGAGCAAGCCCAGAGCCCAGCCTGGCCTGTGAGCAAGCCCAGAGCCCAGCCTGGCCTGTGAGCAAGCCCAGAGCCCAGCCTGGCCTGTGAGCAAGCCAGAGCCCAGCCTGGCCTGTGAGCAAGCCCAGAGCCCAGCCTGGCCTGTGAGCAAGCCCAGAGCCCAGCCTGGCCGTATTTACACTCATCTCAGAGCTAGGTTCCGAGGAACGTTCTCGGGAGCTAAAAGTTGCAGCGCTATTGTTGGTATTAGAAGTGTTTTGGAAGAGCAACAAAAGATATTGTTTGTGTTCAGTTTCCTTGTGTCGGTAGCACAATGAAAGCTCGCCTCACCCCTTCTCCCCCTCCCCACTCTTCCAAGACGATATCACTAAAAATTAAACTGAAACGCAAGTATTTTCGGATTGTATGTTGGGGAAGGGAAGGAGATGCTATCACTTGGGATGCGCTAAAGTCGTAAGGAACCGCAAAGCTCTTGGAGAGTGGTACGCGATCAGGTCTGATTCAGAGAAAAGGAAGGTGGGTGGGGGTGGTTCCAGTTCCTTGGAACAAGAGTAATCCACAAGCACGTCCATTTGTTGCAGCGTATTGTGTATATATCAAGAATGAATTGAGTGTGTGCAAGTTACGAGGACATATGTCCCCCCACCAGTAGGGGTGCACGTGCGCTCCTCACTCCCCCACCATACAGTGGTGACCAAAAGTGGGGTTTTACATGGCAGTCCTCACCTATTAGGGTTTTCCCTAACCCCCTCCCCCCACCAAGGTAGGGTGACCCACCCCCACCCCCCCTCAGTCCCCCACCAAAGGTGGGGTGACCCCCACCCTCCCCTCAGTCCCCCACCAAGGTAGGGGTGACCCCCACCCTCCCTCAGTCCCCACCAAGGTAGGGGTGACCCCCCCCTCCCCTCAGTCCCCCACCAAGGTAGGGGTGACCCCCACCCTCCCCTCAGTCCCCCACCTAGGTAGGGGTGACCCCCACCCCTCCCCTCAGTCCCCCACCTAGGTAGGGGTGACCCCCACCCTCCCCTCAGTCCCCACCAGGTAGGGGTGACCCCCACCCTCCCCTCAGTCCCCCACCTAGGTAGGGGTGACCCCCACCTCCCCTCGTCCCCCACCTAGGTAGGGGTGACCCCCACCCTCCCCTCAGTCCCCCACCTAGGTAGGGGTGACCCCCACCCTCCCCTCAGTCCCCCCCCAAGGTAGGGGTGACCCCCACCCTCCCCTCAGTCCCCCGCCAAGGTAGGGGTGACCCCACCCTCCCCTCAGTCCCCCACCAAGGTAGGGGTGACCCCCACCTTCCCCTCAGTCCCCCACCAAGGTAGGGGTGACCCCCACCCTCCCCATCCCAAAACTTGAGGCTAGGTGGTCACTAAGGGTCAGAACTGAACGGGGAACACCCAACACTACCTTTTGTAAGGTTCCTGGAGATAGAAGCGGTAAACACAGGAGAGCGTCGAGTACAACGCTGTGTACGCCAGCAGGTCCCGCCACAGCAGCTTGTACATACTTCCCCGCCACCTTGCAACACGAAATAGAACTAAATAATTTTTATTAACACATCTGCCGTTTCCCCACCGTGGAAGAATGATCTCCGAAAATGAGGAAACTTGCATCACTCACTCCATCACCGTCTTACCAGAGTCGTGCCTGTGTACACCTCACACCTCCAGGACTCGAGTCCGACTAACCGGTTTCCTCGAGTCTCTTCATAAAATGTTTGGCTAAATGTATGTAATTTTAATTAGGAATTATCCTTTCAGGGAGGATGCAGTGACGCAGAAGGGCTCGTAATATAAGGAGTTATTATACCCCTCCCCTTCCTTGGATCAAACCTGGCTACCTCCCATACGCTTTATGGCTCCTAGAATTTTAGCATCCACACAAACAATATCGAATTCTCAAACTAAACTTTTCGATAGTCATCACAGTGATGAATGACATCAATGGCTCTTTCCCTGATATTTATTCATTTTTTTTTATCGGGGATAAGCGGCAGTACCGTGGTTTATACAGTGCCTAGAGAACAGGAGGTAATCAGGTTCCATTCGCAGAGATGGAAGACAAGTACAGGTCCTTGAATCACGAACCCATCACTGGCATCAAGGCTACTTCCCCGGGGGATCCATTTATTTTAGAGGATGAATTTAGTGAATGTCTCAGCTCAAGATACAAATTCAAATTTGTATAAATTAATACGTACAGTAAAACTCACTGTTTACCACGAGTCACACTAGTCAATATATTACTGCCTGAAATACTGAGGAAACAGTGGCAGGCAACACGAAGCAAAAATAAACAAATTACCATACTGAGAAAGGATAACTTTACTGAAAATATTGCACAATTAATCATTGCAGAAGACAAACAACAATTGGGAACCAAGGTTAACAATAACAGCTCGTGTGTACCACCTACAACCTGCAGTATTTACATGCTGTTATAAAAATTCTTTCGGTATCATTTTTTCCCATAGTTCAGAAAAAGTAATCATTTTAGTTAATAGTACATGGCTGGACTTTATTGTCAGAAATTATATGCATCAAATACTCTAATATTTTTATGACTGATAACTGACAATATCACAGGAATACCTCGTCTAACTACGATTACATAATGACATACATCCACACATGCACCTATACATGCACACACACCTATTCATGCACACACACCTATACATGCACACACACCTACACATGCACGCACACCTACACATGCACGCACACCTACACATGCACGCACACACGCACGCACTGACAACAGCCTTTGACAGTAGTTAACAAACCTGAATAGTAGCTTGACGTATATGCAGCAGCAGGTGTTGACCATCGTCTTCGTGTACTCTACAGTCATGTCAGCGTTACTTAGGCAATGACTATTTAAGAACCACTAGCTCAAGAATCTTCTCTGGTATTCCCAAGCAGTTCTTAATAGCAACTAGGTAAAAAAAAAATTCTTTCTCAGATCCCAACACCATTAATTAAGAGCCCCAAGGTTAGAAGTCACTTAGATACCCAAGCTCGTTTTCTTAAGGAACTAGTCAAAGATCACACCGCCAGCTCTCAGCTCAGTGAGGAATTCAACATCTCTCTCTCTCTGTATAATAAATATCAGCTCATGTAACCAAGAGATTAACTTGTCGAGCGGTACAGCGTCCAAATCCTCAAACTGCCTATGATCTGGGTGTCCCAGGAGAGCGTAACTCATGCCGCTGTGAATCCAAACAATGGCGTCCCTTAAGAAAGTATTCTTAGCTTCATACAAGAACCCAGAGGCTAGGTCATCCAGGGCAAACCAACTCGATTCACCAATGATGTAGGCAGTCACCACACGATAACCAAGAGGGACACACCAGTTTAGCAACCAGGAGAGCGAGATTAAAAGAAGCCTAGAAGCAAAATATACAAGGAAGCCACGGAGTCTCTGGTCATCTAAAGTCAAAAGATATCTTTGAATTCTTTCCTCTTCAAGACCCGTGGGGACTTCATTTCCAGAGTCAAAGATCATCAAGGAGCAGAGAACCCCAGGTCTTCAAGGTAGCTCGAGACCAGGTCACCAGGAAGCCTCAACGAGTTCGCAAAGGTCAAGTATCTTCAAGGTAAACAGAAGATGTCAAGCCACCTGATCTGAAAAGAAATAGTTGTCAAGGAAAAGATACAGCTGTCAGGGTAAAGAGAGACGGTTGTTGGGATATGATATGGAATGCATAGAGGGTAGTAATAGGTCATTAAAAGCTATATATAATACCAGGCTTACATCCACTCGTCATGCAATACGGTGACCACTCCCTACCCCCCGCCTCCAGGATGCCACCCACAGTGGTGAATTAGCACCCACGTACTTAACCGCCATCAGCGTTAACCCTGTCAAAATCAATTTAGTAAGTAACCAAGTGTCTAAATTGTATCACTGAAGCGTCAGTATTATAGCACAAGAGGAATACGTTGGTGTTAGATCTAAGGCCTATAACTTGGGAGCAAATAATCGAAATCATCTCACCTGTGCATCGCTAGTCTCTTATCCTTTAATCGCTAAAATAAGGATTAACGTAAATTCAGTGTACATGAACATTCGTACCTGTGTATACGTATATGCTGTGATACGGAATTAATATCTATATATATACAAAGGTATATCAGTGTGTGTGCAAGAGTAATTTAAACATGTAACTGAAGAATTGAAGCACACATTGCACGTATTAGTGATTATTTAATTTATGATAAGACCAGAGCAAACTACAGGATGGGTTATAAGTACCAGGAGGGTGAGAAAGTACGGAGGTACAGCTTCTAACACTCGCACCGGCTCTCTAGCTACGGTATTCTGGACTCAATGAACACTTAATACTTTTGAGATAGTTATTGAATAACTTCTAAATCCCTGTCGTGTAATAATGAGAACATTACCGTTTCACGTGTTGTTGTAAATGGGATGGAAATAATGCCATCACATCTTTTTGTGTTTTTTTACGGGGTGGACCGGAAAGGTAGCAGTAGGCCTCCGTCATATGACGAAAAGCTTCAGTGAGAGTTTCATTTTAAGATCCAGACCGGAGTCAGGAGCTACTTCCTAGATTTCCTAACAAATAAAACACCACAATACTCACCTTTCCTTGTACATAAACACCTTGAAAAAAACTGGTCTTCAGCATTAAGATTTGACATAAAAGTGTGACCGTTGACTCGAAACATTATTCAGCAGCGATGGGCACGGCTTTTAAAAAAAAAAAAAAAAAAAAACTCCGCTAACTGCCGACTGGGAGAGACAAAATAATACTGACACAGGTGCTGACTACCCAACACCACTGACCTGCTGAGATTGTAGGTCTGAGGTGTTGTGAAGCTCGCTCAGCCACCAGTGAAATCCCCGAAGCACTGTACTCGTCTATAGAGTATCTTCAACATACATTTCCACGACACAGAAACAGCACCGTCCATACGACGACTGTTAATTATTATCATTTTCCAGCGCCTGGAGTGAGGGGCAATCTTCACGATACATGCGATTTAATTTAGTTAGAAGATTCTCTTCCTCCCGCTGAGTGCATGAGGTAACCTATTTGATCTAAGAGGAGGACTGATCGCACTTCTTAGACCAAGAACTCTTCCCAGAAATCAAGATGTTCTTCTTGAACTGATGGCAGCTAAGCGCAATAAGCATTCTCGGCATTTATTTATATCTAAATGGAGATCCATTGTAAAGCCGTGACTCTGTTCGACTGACTGAATCTGTGACTCTCTGTTCGACTGACTGAGTCTGTGACTATCAGTTGGACTCACGACTAAAGCTGGTCGACCTCACTGTATCCCGCGCCACAACCGCTGCAAACATGATCGCTGCTACAGGAAAAACTGAATTCAATCACACATGACAATGCATGACAGTCTACCTGTTAAACTGATATCAGTTAACCATTACACTCATTTAATTTTTCAATTTCAGCCGAAAAATTCTGGCGTCACGAGCGTGTTCACTTCTATGACTTTAATACTATGGTTAAACGTACTTATAAAGTAGAATATACCACGAGACTAATGTATATGTTTATGAGGTAATATGCAGTGACATACACAGACTCACACACACACACACACACACACACACACACACACACACAACACACACACACACACACACACACACACACACACACACTGGCAACTGAACAATCCAAACCAACCATCACACACCGATCCCTCTGTTCCCACCCCCCGCACCACAGTTACAGTATTAGAACAGAAGTTGAAGGTTTGGTACACAAATGCAGATGGATTAACGAATAAACATGAGGAATGGCAAGAAAGAATCAATGAGAAGTCCCCAGATATCATAGCAGTTACAGAAACAAAACTCACGGAGACAATAACAGATGCAATCTTCCCACCAGGATACCAGATCATGAGGAAAGATAGAAGGGGCAGAGGGGGAGGTGGGGTTGCTCTGCTCGTAAAAAACAGATGGAAATTCGAGAAAATGGAAGGCATAGATGAGACGGGAGAAAGAGACTACATAGTAGGTACACTTCAGTCTGGGGAACACAAAGTGGTCATTGCAGTGATGTATAAGCCACCACAGAACTGCAGGAGGCCAAGAGAGGAATATGAAGAGAGCAACAGAGCAATGGTGGACACACTTGCTGAGGTGGCAAGAAGAGCTCACTCCAGCAGAGCAAAGTTGCTGGTTATGGGGGATTTCAACCACAGGGAGATTGACTGGGAAAACCTGGAGCCACATGGGGGTCCCGAAACATGGAGAGCCAGGATGTTGGACGTGGTGCTGGAAAACCTCATGCACCAACATGTTAAGGACACTACCAGAGTGAGAGGGGAGGATGAACCAGCAAGATTGGACCTTGTGTTCACCCTGGGCAGCTCAGACATTGAGGACATCAAGTATGAGAGTCGCCTAGGAGCTAGCGACCACGTGGTTCTGTGCTATGAATGCATAGTAGAGCTGCAAGTGGAGAGAATAACAGGAGTTGAATGGGAAAAGCCTGACTATAAAAGAGGGGACTACATAGGATTGAAGAACTTCCTACGGGAGGTCCAGTGGGACAGAGAACTGGCAGGAAAACCAGTAAATGAAATGATGGAATATGTAACAACAAAATGCAAGGAGGCAGTGGAAAGGTTTATTCCCAAGGGCAGCAGAAAAAACGGGAAGACCAGAACGAGCCCCTGGTTTACCCGACAGTGTAAGGAGGCAAAAACAAAGTGCAATAGAGAATGGAAAAAGTACAGAAGGCAGAGAACACACGAAAATAGGGAGATCAGTCGCAGAGCCAGGAATGAGTATGCACAGGTAAGGAGGGAGGCCCAGCGACAATATGAAAATGACATAGCATCGAGAATCAAGACTGACCCGAAACTGTTGTATAGCCACATCAGGAGGAAGACAACAGTCAAAGACCAGGTGATCAGATTAAGGACAGAAGGTGGAGAACTCACAAGAAATGATCAGGAGGTATGTGAGGAGCTGAACAGGAGATTTAAGGAAGTTTTTACAGTAGAGACAGGAAGGGCTGTGGGAAGACAGCACAGAAGGGAACATCAAGAGGGAACATACCAACAAGTGTTGAATGACATACGAACAACCGAGGAGGAGGTGAAGAAGCTCCTAAGTGACCTTGACACCTCAAAGGAGATGGGACCGGACAACATCTCCCCATGGATCCTTAGAGAAGGAGCAGAGATGCTGTGCGTGCCTCTAACCACAATCTTCAACACATCCCTTGAAACTGGGCAACTACCTGAGAAATGGAAGACAGCTAATGTAGTCCCCATACTTAAGAAAGGAAACAGAAACGAAGCGCTAAACTACAGACCTGTGTCTCTGACATGTATTGTGTGCAAAGTCATGGAGAAGATTATCATGAGGAGAGTGGTCGAACACCTGGAAAGGAACAAGATTATAAATGAAAACCAGCATGGGTTCATGGAAGGCAAATCGTGTATCACAAACCTCCTGGAGTTTTATGACAAGGTAACAGAAGTAAGACACGAGAGAGAGGGGTGGGTAGATTGCGTTTTCCTAGACTGCAGGAAGGCCTTTGACACAGTTCCCCACAAGAGATTAGTGCAGAAGCTGGAGGATCAGGAGCATGTAACAGGGAGGGTATTGCAATGGATCAGGGAATACCTGACAGGGAGGCAGCAACGAGTCATGGTACGTGAAGAGGTATCACAGTGGGCGCCTGTGACGAGCGGGGTCCCACAGGGGTCAGTTCTAGGACCAGTGCTATTTTTGATATATGTGAACGACATGACGAAAGGAATAGACTCTGAAGTGTCCCTGTTCGCAGATGATGTGAAGTTGATGAGAAGAATTAAATTGGATGAGGATTAGGCAGGACTGCAAAGAGACCTGGACAGGCTGAACATGTGGTCCAGTAACTGGTTTCTCGAATTCAATCCAGCCAAATGCAAAGTCATGAAGATTGGGGAGGGGCAAAGAAAACCGCAGACAGAGTATAGGCTAGGTGGACAAAGACTACAGACCTCACTCAGGGAGAAAGACCTTGGGGTGACCATAACACCGAGCACATCACCGGAGGCACACATCAACCAAACAACTGCTGCAGCATACAGGCGCCTGGCAAACCTGAGAATAGCGTTCCGATACCTTAATAAGGAATCGTTCAAGACACTGTACACTGTGTATGTTAGGCCCATACTGGAGTATGCAGCACCAGTCTGGAACCCACACCTGGTCAAGCACGTCAAGAAGTTAGAGAAAGTACAAAGGTTTGCAACAAGGCTAGTCCCAGAGCTCAGGGGAATGTCGTACGAGGAAAGGTTGAGGGAAATCGGACTGACGACACTGGAGGACAGAAGGGTCAGGGGAGACATGATAACGACATACAAGATTCTGCGGGGAATAGACAAGGTGGACAGAGATAGGATGTTCCAGAGAGGGGACACAGGGACAAGGGGTCACAACTGGAAGCTGAAGACTCAGACGAGTCACAGGGACGTTAGGAAGTATTTCTTAGTCATAGAGTTGTCAGGAAGTGGAATAGCCTAGCAAGTTAAGTCGTGGAGGCAGGAACCATACATAGTTTTAAGAAGAGGTATGATACAGCTCAGGAAGCAGAGAGAGAGAGGACCTAGTAGCGATCAGTGAAGAGGCGGGGCCAGGAGCTGAGTCTCGACCCCTGCAACCACAATTAGGTGAGTACACACACACACACACACACACACACACACACACACACACCACACCCACACACACACACACACACACACACACACACACACACACACAGGACCAAATGGTAACTAACACCACACACACACACATATATATATATATATATATATATATATATATATATATATTATATATATATATATATATATATATATATATATATATTTATTTTTAGCAAGTCGGCTGTCTCCCACCGAGGCAGGGTGACCCAAAAAGAAAATACTTTCCTCATTCAATATCTTCACCTCACTCACACATAATCACTGTTTTTGCAGAGGCGCCCAGATACAACAGTTTAGAAGCATATATAGAGATACACAACATATCCTTCCAAACTGTCAATATCTCAAACCCCTCCTTCAAAGTGCAGGCATTGTACTTCCCATCTCCAGGACTCAAGTCCCGCTACATAAAAATAACCGGTTTCCCTGAATCCCTTCACTAAATATTTCCCTGTTCACACTCCATACAGGGTGGATAAGTGTACTGCTACTAAGATTATGTGGGACCCAGTCATATGACACTTCTCAGCATACATATTTAACTGTACTTGAGTAAGGACCAAACCACAAACACTTCCTAACGAACAGCGAACCTTCCTTGGGTTAGAAGCGTAATTACGACAAACACTTCCCAGCGAACAGAGAACCGGACTTGGGAACCAGCTATATGACAAACGTTTCCCAGCGAACAGTGAACCGTGTTTGTGTGTGTGTGTCTGTGTGTGGGAGAGAGAGAGAGAGAGAGAGAGAGAGAGAGAGAGAGAGAGAGAGAGAGAGAGAGAGAGAGAGAGAGAAGCAACTCCCAATAATGAGTTGAGGCAGTGGGTGGGTGGCACTGTTCACTGACGGTACACAAAGCTACAGCAAGCTTCTTGATGTTGCTAATTGGCACTGTGCCACCCACCCTCCCGCTAACATTACGACTCTGTCACAGCTGAGATAATCACCTTACTATTATTAATTAATCGAGTTATATTTGGTTTAGAGTATAACTATGCCTTTTTTATGAGAGAGAGGTTGTACAAGGAAAGGGAAGAGAATTT